AAGTTTTACATGGTATGTGTGTGAAACTGCCCTATTTAATAGCGTATATATGGCCCTTGGTAGAATTAAATAGCCTATCTAGGAAACAAAATCTGCGCGCAATCTGCCGTCAGAACAGATTCTGCGTACAATGAATGTTGCCATTCTGTCTACAAACACTGTTGACACATTCTGCGCAAAATCTGCTCGCGCAAATTTGACTATCTAGGTGAGTATTGAGAGTTTTGGTCAATACTGAAGTATTGAGTGAGTTAAATATTGGTGAATACTGAGTATTGAGAGTTAGTATTGGTCAATACTGAAGTATTGAGTGAGTTAAATATTGGTGAATACTGAGTATTGAGAGTTAGTATTGGTCAATACTGAAGTATTGAATGAATCAAATATTGATGAATACTAATTACTGAGAGTTAGTATTGGTCAATACTTAAATATTTATGTAGTTAAGTATTGATTAAGTATTGTAGTTAAGTATTGATAAAGACTGAGTATTGCGAGTTAGTATTGGTCAATACTTAAATATTCATTATATCAAACAATATTTATAAAACATTTAAAAACATTAAAAAAACATTTTGGAAACGTTAAAAAAATGGGGTAAGTTCTTGTTTTTCATTAAAAAAAACGTTTTTTTAACGTTTGGAAGAATGTTTTGTTTTTTTAATATTTTAATATTTAATACACATTTTATTTAATATTTAAAAAATATTTTCTAATTGTTGACATTAAACATTTAAAAAATATTTTTTAATGTTAAAATAAATGTTTATTAAATATTAGAAAATAAAACATTTTTTTAAATGTTAAAAAATGCTAAAAACATTCTTTTAACTAAAAAAAGAAAATTTATTCCATTATTTTTAATGTTTTAAAAATATTTTTTAAAATGTTTTTTTAAATTGTAATGTTTTGTAAATAACTTAGATAATGTCAACACTTACATAAACATATTTTATATAAATATTTTATGCATATATTTATGACTTCTTTTTTATTATATGAAATATTTTGACTAAATATTTTATTTTTGTAGTTATACTAAATAATGTTATAAGAAAATTATAATTACTTCTTCGGCTGCATATGGGGATAATAAAAAACGCTTAGTATCAGTTGAAGAAATAGCGCAGCAGCCAAGATGATAGACTAGGAACCTGCAGATATCTGAGGTCTCAAGGTCGCGTTCGACTAGTACTGAGTAAATTTTCAGGTGTGAAAATAGTGAGAAATTAAATCAAAGAGCTACATTTTATTTAAAATCAATATTAATGTGCTGTGAGGGATAGCATATTTTAACAATATTCCACGTATATATTTTAAAAACTCATCAATACTAAGTATTCCCCAAAAAGTATTGACAAGTTTAGTATTAACCAATACTAAGTATTACACATTTAATACTATTTTTCAGTATTCATGAATACTTAGTATTCATCAATATTAAATATTGCTCAAAAAAGTATTGGCCAATTTAGTATTAATCAATATTAAATATTGCGCGCTCAATAGTTTTTTCCGTAAGGGAATATTTCTGTAATATTGTATTATATTGGAATGTGATATATAATTTAGATATATCACTACAATATTTCACAAATTTACCATCTTATGTATTGCAGTATAATATTAAGATCGATAATTTATAATAAGTCGCAAACAGTATCGTGGGTTGCAAGTCTCAAGAAATTGACCAATCACAGTTGCATATTGTATAATATACAATAAATCGCAAAAGCCAGTCTACAGCGTTGCGGATTGCAGGTTGCGAGAAATTGATTAATGACAATAATTATTTACCTCACATGCGACTGTGATTAGTCTATTTCTTCAGACTTCCCTTACGGAAAAAAAAAAACTATTGAGCGCGCAATATTTAGTACTTGGTTAATATTAAATTGGCCAATACTTTCTTGGGGAATACTTAATATTGATGTGCATTAAAAGTATATACGTGGAATATTGTTAAAATATGCTATCCCTCACAGCACATTAATATTGATTTTAAATAAAATGTAGCCTTTTTATTTGATTTCTCACTATTTTCATACCTGAAAATTTACTCAGTACTAGTCGGACGCGAACTCGAGACCTCAGATACCTCCAAGCTTTCTAAGTCTATCATCTTGGCTGCTGCGCTATTTCTTCAACTGATACTAAGCGTTTTTTATTCTCCCCACATGCAGCCGCGCGCGCGCGTGAAGCAGTAATTATAATTTTCTTATAACATTATTTAGTATAACCACAAAAATAAACTATGTAGTCCAAATATTTAATATAATGAAAAAGAAGTCAGAAATATATACATAAAATATTTATATAACATATGTTTACATAAATGTTGACATTACAAAGCATTACAATTCAAAAAAACATTTAGAAAACATTTTTAAAACGTTAAAAATAATGGAATAAATTCTCTTTTTAAATTAAAAGAACGTTTCTTAACATTTGAAAAAAATGTTTTCTAATATTTAATAATCGTTTATTTTAACATTTAAAAAATATTTTTTAAATGTTAAATGTTAACACTTAGAAAAATATTTTTAAAATACTAAAATAAATGTTTATTAAATATTAAAAAAACAAAACATTCTTTTAAACGTTAAAAAAAAACGTTTTTTAATTAAAAAAAAGAACTTACTCCATTATTTTTAACGTTTCTAAAATGTTTTTTTAAATGTTATTAAATGTTTTATAAATATTGTTTGATATAATAAATATTTAAGTATTGACCAATACTAATTGGCAATACTCAGTCTTCATCAATACTTAACTACATCAATATTTAAGTATTGACCAATACTAACTCTCAGTAATCAGTATTCATCAATATTTAATTAATTCAATACTTCAGTATTGACCAATACTAACTCTCAATACTCAGTATTCACCAATATTTAATTCACTCAATACTTCAGTATTGACTAATACTAACTCTCAATACTCAGTATTCATCAATATTTAACTCACTCAATACTTCAGTATTGACCAATACTAACTCTCAATACTCAGTATTCACCAATATTTAATTCACTCAATACTTCAGTATTGACTAATACTAACTCTCAATACTCAGTATTCATCAATATTTAACTCACTCAATACTTCAGTATTGACCAATACTAACTCTCAATACTCAGTATTCACCAATATTTAATTCACTCAATACTTCAGTATTGACTAATACTAACTCTCAATACTCAGTATTCATCAATATTTAACTCACTCAATACTTCAGTATTGACCAATACTAACTCTCAATACTCAGTATTCACCAATATTTAATTCACTCAATACTTCAGTATTGACTAATACTAACTCTCAATACTCAGTATTCATCAATATTTAACTCACTCAATACTTCAGTATTGACCAATACTAACTCTCAATACTCAGTATTCACCAATACTTAACTCATTCAATATTTAACTCATTCAATACTTCAATATCGACCAATACTAACTCTGAATACTCAGTATTACAACTTGAATACTAAATATCACAACTTCAATACTTAGTATTAAGTCTCAATAGTTTTTTTCCGTAAGGTTTGCTACCCGCGATGCTGTTTGCGACTTATTGTAGACCGACCTTAATAATATACTGGAATACATAACATGGTAATATTTGTGAAATATTGTAGTAATATATCTCAGACATATCATATTTCAATATCCAGTATAATATTACAAAAATATTACATAATGATATATCGTGTTGTAATATTGTAGTAATATTACTGCAATATTACACTGCTATATATCGCAATGTAATATCTCAATAATATATTCTTAATATTTCATTCCTACTGCAATATTAATACAATATTGTAATATTACTGTAATATTTCTGCAATATTGCATGCTGTGTGGGTTTAATTTGGTACCTATTTTAAGTACATTTTTCATTGCCCAGAAATGGGGCACATGTTGGCATCACTTTTTTGTGAAGGCTATGGATGAAAATAGAAAAGGTTTTAAATGTTTAAAAGAAATATTTCCTAAAATTATTAATGCTAAAATGAAAAAAGTAATAATATTTGTTGATCCTTAAATAGGAAAATTACAAAAAGATACAAATTTTAACAACGTCTTAACTTGTACGGAAAGAAATAGGATGTATTGAAGAGTGTGTTTGAAAATTTCCTGAGAAATAAAAAAAGTGAAAATTATGTAGAAATAATGACAAACAAATTGATAGTTTTCAAAGAAATGAAATGTAATATGTCACTAAAAATTAATTTCTTACGCATTTTTATGCAAAAATTCATTTATTCGTATTTAAATTTCTTTCCGGAAAACTTAGGTGTTGTTAGTAATGAGCATGACACAAAAGATTTCATAAAGATACTTCAAAGTTCGAAGAAAAATATAAAGGAAGAATAATACCAAACATGTTTGCGGATTATTGCTGAAATATAGTTCGAGATATACCTAAAACATCCTATAAATATCCTATAAATTAAAATGTAAAATTGTAAAATTCACATCTCACATTAGATGGATACGTATATGCGTGGCTGCATTTACAAACACGTACACAGCAGAGAAGGTTTGAAGTCATTAAGTACTACAAGAGTGGTGAAAAAACCGTTCTTATCTCTTCTGCTAACAGAGAGATGCTAACATACACATACACATAGAATCAGATCACCGCCACGTTCACGTTGTTGATCCTAAGTAAAGTGCGAGTATCTTCTTCTCTTATTATCTTACATTTTTTCAAAATTGTGACATAATAATATTATTTGCACAATGAGTTCGTTCAATAGGCAAAAATATATCGTAAACATCTATTCATACTCGTGTCACAAAATGATCGAATTTTATGTAACAGTGTAATTAGAATTGTTATAACAATGTATTATTTTATCACATTCTTTGTTATTGAAAACTTTTCGATGAAGAAGCACAATGCGACCTTGAAATTACAAAGTATTGTAATTGATTAAATAATATTTATTAAACATACAGATTAATCTATATGGAAATACCTTTCAGCTGTCCTGACGCTATACTTAAAGAACATACTAAGCTACTCCGAGAACACGTCTACTGTAATTTACCATATTTTCACCATGTTTGTCTACTTCTTCCCGCTATTCGGTGCGATCCTGGCAGATTCGTGGCTTGGAAAATTCCGCACTATCTTCTATGTGAGCATTATTTACGCAATCGGCCAACTACTCTTAACCATGAGTGCGGCACCCACATTAGTGGGATTGCCTCCAAGGTTGGTACAAAGCAATCAAAACAATTGCGACGATGAAGCATTCAATGTATAACATTGACTAAAATTAATTATTAATTAATTATATTACTTAAATATAGCCGAATAAAATCTGTTTATATCAATTTTTTAGAGAATTCTCATTACTGGGCCTACTCCTGATAGCAATCGGCACGGGTGGGATAAAACCTTGCGTGTCGGCCTTTGGAGGCGACCAGTTTATTTTACCGCAACAAGAGCGATACCTGGCGATGTTCTTTTCCCTTTTCTATTTCTCCATTAATTCAGGCTCGTTGATCTCCAGCTTCCTAACTCCCTGGCTACGTAGCAATGTGAAATGCTTAGGAGCGACAACTTGTTATTCCTTGACATTTCTAGTACCGGCCATTCTGATGATTTTGTCTATCGGTAAGGCGCAATAAGAATAAAATTCTTGAATTTTATCGCTATATAATAAAGTTGTAGTTTTTTGATTGATAAGAATTCCTTTTTAGTGATATTCGTCGCCGGCAAACCAATGTATAGGATAATGCAACCCACGGGCAACGTCATCGTCAAGGTTTCCAAGTGCGTTTCCGTAAGTCTTATATTATCGAAATTGTAAGCCTTAGGATTCCTTGTACCTCACCGTGGCCATGTTGAACTTGTGACGTCATAAGCGAGGAATCACACGCTGACAAACATTACGTGCCATTTCTAATTAAAAATAAATATAGATAAAAGAGTACTTTCTTCACCACACTTGTACAATTATCCGAATAATGTTCTTTTCTCCTGATGATCAATAAATAGTTGTATAAAAGTAATGAAATAAGGCATATTTGTGCACGATAATACGTGACTAAATTGATGGCAGAAGGAAAATCACCTTCCACGTGTAATATTCCTCAGCTTAGTTTCCAGATAATTCTATGGGTTTCACAAGTATGTCAGATGTCATAGCTCATTGGTAATGTGGATATTAACGAAATGACACGTAATGTAAAATTTCGCTGTCATCAGTTATTACATGTCTTTTAATATAATATTTTACAGCGTGAGACACTGCGCCTAGCAATAAATGCTAGGTCTGTTCTTTTTCGATACAATTGTTGAACTAGTACAATAAGACATTAGAATGAGACAAAATATACTTGTTTAATTCTAACTTATTGCACTAATTCAGCAGTGCAGCTATAAAGAACAAACCGGCTGTTAGATTCTTTTCCGTGCCCATAGACAGTATGAGTTAAACAAAGATGAACAACGATTTTCTGTCTATCTTTATCTCATTATCGACGAGCTGATAATTACGATCGGCAGACACGAGCCAGCAGAGATGTTATCACTTACGTAACATCTCCTCTCAGCCGTCTCTCTTTTCCTTTCGAGCGATACGTAAGCCGGGCAGAAAAACATTTCGAGACTAGGACCAGTTATAAAAATTTCAATTAAATTTTTCTCAACTTAATGATTGATTTGAACAAACATGTTTTAATTCAATGATTTAATTGATGATTGATTTGAGCAAAATCAAAGATATTTAATTATAATTAAATAAAAAAAAATATTTAATTAACGATTAATATGAGCAAAGGAAATCAATTATCGTTTAATTAACAAATTAAACCTAGCAAATTAAGTTAAAAGTAATGTTATATAATAATTATCTGTTATATTTAACTATTATAATATTTAACTGTTATGTAATATTATATATTATTAACTATTATTGAATATTTAACTATTATTGAATATTTAACTATTATATATAATATTTAATTATTACTTAATTGTTTAATTAATTTATGTTATGTTACTAATATTTGTGTTTTATTGGGTTGTGATATCGTGGAAGATGTCATTGATTGTGAGAAACGCTAAGAAAATCCAAGTTGAGGAGAGTATTAGTCACATCAATCATCACCGAATAATCTTCGGTTAAATCGATAGAATTTGCTCATATCAATCGTGTTAAACCGTCTTTAATTAAAGAACAATATTGTAAAAGGACCAAAATTTGCCTATAAGGGAAATATATGAAATAGGGTTATCTTTATATTTTTGTGTCTGCTGAACTCGAACATGAAACTTAAAATAATTTAAATCCCGGGAAACTTTGTGAAAATATAATTCTTTTTAGAGAAAAGCCTCCCCACACGGAACAAAACATCCACTGAAAGTCCATTAGACATCCTGGAAATTTAGAACCTCTAATGGACGTCCATGGAAAATCTATAAGGCATTCATTGAACATCCAAATGTTCGCTTCTTGAACCTCTACTGGATTTCCAGTGAACGCTCTAAATGGAGCTCCTATAGAGATTTTGGACATACAATGGATTTCCTATGGATTTCTATTGGAACTATTATGGACGTTTTCTAAATTATGGATGATTCTGGGAATTTATATGGACGATTTTTAGAGGTTGTATGAATTCTAGGAGTTGTTAATTTTTTAAATGTATTCTAATAAATGAAAACAGTACGGATATATATAAAAAGTATTTCAATATCTAATGTTACAAATCCTACCTTATGATTGATTTCAATATTTAAATATTGATATGTAATACTTCGTCCAGTGATAAAATACTTACGCAGAACATTGTCAGTATTTACTAATATACAGTCAGTAATACTAATATACAGGGTGTCCCGCGTAAGACGGACCAAAAGAAAAATATAAGTAGAACACAAAAGTGGACAAAAATTATATAGGTCATTTTTCAAACAACCACATAAAATTTCAAGATATTAATTAAAATAGTTGAGCATATCAGAGCGCGGCGACACGGCAGGCGGGACATACGGCGGCTCGCCGCGGCCGACGCAGAAAATGGATGATTGCTCGCGGGCCTATCTTAGAGGCCAGAGAGGTGGGCCGTTTGGCATACTGAAAAGAGTAGCTCCGTGTGTGCGTCCGCGTACGCGTGCGTTCTTCCATTTTCTTCGTCGAACGCTGCGAGCCGTATGTCCCGCCTGTCACGTCGCGCGTTCTAATTTGTCCAACTATTTTAATTAATATATTTGAAAAATGACGTGTACAATTTTTGTTTACTTTTATGTGTTCTACTTATATTTTTCTTTTGGTCCGTCTTACGCGGGACACCCTGTATAATACTTTGCTAAGTGATGAAATACTTACGCAAAATACTGTTAAGATTAAAAGTCACGCGCAATTTTGGTTTCGTCGATTCCGTTCCCGTAATTTTGATGTCAAAGATGCACCACGCTCTGGAAGGCCAATTGTTGAAAATGATGGAAATCGTCGAGTCCGACCGTCATGTAAGCACTGTTTCGATTGCCCAGGAGCTA